GGCCGCTGCCACCCTTATCAATCGCAGCGCACGTAGCGTCTCTGCGCGTTTTCCCCCGCAGCGCTGTTTCTCTCCGTTGTACCACGACCGACCTCACAGGACAAATCTCAGCGTTCTCTACGGTGTTTTTTGCCTTCCCATCTACCAACGTTCCTCTTCACACTTTTGTCCAATTTTCGGACAAGCCGATCGCAACCCGTGTCTTCAACCATTTCCAGCTGCAAATTCAATCCCATATGCAACCTTTCAAATGAATAAATTCCTGAATATGACCGACTAACTAGGTTATCCAGAACTTCACTAGTGTCTGTAATGGAAGTAGGTGGTGGCGTCCCAATCTGCAGCAGTGACCGCGGAGGCAAAAAGGAAGGTATCTGGAGGCAGTGGGGAAAGATTGACCTCCCTCTACTATATAAACCACAAACGTGGTGTGTCAGTTTGTCCGTCTGTTTGTTAGTCAGTAAAATGAGCGGATAGATAACTGATAACTTGCATATTTTGAGTATTGGGGACCGTGAAATTACGGGGATATAGCATCTTATCGCGTGTGATTTCTGGGATTAAAAGCAAACCCCGGGATTAAACTGGTGCTAAGAGCGCTTCGTAGTGATAGCTTAGCTGCGGAACGACCTGAAAGTGGAGAGGAAAGCAAGAGAAATCTTTGGGAACGCTGAAATTAAGGCCTTAACCTTCAATAAGGTCGGATGTGGTACGATGGCGAAAAGAAGACAAAACACGCGAGAGATCACGCCGTTCGAGAGAGCACGCTGATCTCTACATCGAGGTGGGTGGGAAGCGTTGCAACGGGGTCGATGGTTGCAGGCCCGTAAGGATTAGCGCCCTAACCGCGCAATTTTTGCGACGAAGCTGGAGTGATCTAGGTAGGTACGGACCTTACAATTTCCCTCGCGGTATCCTTCCTACTAGTCGGGCTAATCCCGGGGTTTGCCTTTGAAGGCACATTCCGCGATATCAGGGTGCATAGCTTTTCCGAATAAGAAACGACATGTGTAGGTAGTGAGAGCGTTGTAAGAAGGAAGAAAGCAAAATAAACATAGAATACAAAGAGACAAGAGAGCATGTAGACGAATGAGACGACAGACAGCTTATACGTAAACTTTTGGGGCGGAGCTGGACTCAGTGAGTCTACGATACTGGCGTCATCCTCAACACTTGCTTTCGCGTAATAAATTCGTCCGACAGTCTCTCATGGAGAAATTGTACCACACAGAAATGTGGAACTCGTGGAATGTGCCTTGAACTTACAACCTTATAGAAGTGGAGAACAAGCTTCTTTTTCTAGCAATCACCGAAAGTAGAAGCAAAGGAAGAGACAGCTAAGGCACAGACACCTCCCACTCCAGTCAAAACGCCAAAGAGAATTCTGAGTAGGCGTCAAAGATTGAAGGATCTCAAACAAGCAAAGGCTGGGACTCCAAAACTGCAACCAGCGAAAGCGAGTTTTTCTACTTCAGTTATTTGGCATTAACATCGCCAGTGTCGGTGGGGTGGAAACGGCGTCAGGGTACTCCATTCGTATAACTTCGTCGCCGGAAGTTCCTCTAGCGGTGAAGCACGAAGAGCTTTTGAGAAGGGCGGCGGACGAAGTAAAACTTGTGATAAGAGCGTGATAACGTCTGAGGACCCCAAAATACAGTGCGCGTCAATTTTATATGCCACCCCCTAATTTTTTCAGTTTTCCGACTTATTTGGAAATTTCGTAAATCGGCATAGCAACCATCGGTTTCGGCGTGTCGGAAAACTAGGAACGGTGTTGTTTGATTTTGGGTTAACGCGTGGATTTGATTTGCTCTGTTCTTTTGAAGAAAATGGGCCGCGTCAAATGCTTATGCCATCCTAAATTTTCTTCAGAATTTCTCATGTCTCTAACGCTATTCAGCTACGGTGTGCATGTAATACAAATGAGGAAATCCTCGACTCATGCAATGCACACAAATGGTGAAGCATTTATAACTGATTAGTTCGGAATATTAGCCTTTATACTGGACGGTAGCGGCATGAAAACGCTTTATCAGAGAAACAGCTGTGTGCTCACTAGTACGATCGCTCCTGCTGCTTGTTGTAGAACTCAACGAGGAGTGTATCCAGGCAAAACTGGGGAAATTGAAGTGCTCAAGGAACTCTTAAATTCTCATTTTCCCGCTTCGAATCCGTGGTCAACTTTTTTTTGTGGTCTCGGCTCCCTGCGAAGCTCGAAGCGTTCACGCTCACAAAGTCTCTGTTCAGAGAGAATATGAGTTGCACTCACAATCCGCGTAGTACCCATCGCCGAACTTTGTCGGATTCTCTCTGGAAAAATTTTCGTACCGAGCGAGCGAAAATGATGACATGGGCCAGTTGTAACTTGAACGGGACACCGAAGTGGTGGCATGGGCCATCATTGCATCGCCTTGATAAGAAAACTTCGATCGAGTTCAGTGATGGGTACCAGACAGGTAGTAGGTACGAGTCGTGTTCTCTCTAAAAAGGACTTTGTGAGCGTGAACGCTTCGAGCTTCGCAAGGAGCCAAGACCACAAAAAAAGTTGACCACGGATTCGAAGCGGGAAAATGAGAATTTAAGAGTTCCTTGAGCACTTCAATTTCCCCAGTTTTGCCTGGATACACTCCTCGTTGAGTTCTACAACAAGCAGCAGGAGCGATCGTACTAGTGAGCACACAGCTGTTTCTCTGATAAAGCGTTTTCATGCCGCTACCGTCCAGTATAAAGGCTAATACTCCGAACTAAGTAGTTATGAAATGCTCCACTATTTGCGTGCATTGCGTTAAGATGAGAATTTCCTCATTTGTATTACATGCACACCGTAGCTGAATAGCGTTAGAGACATGAGAAATTCTGAAGAAAATTTAGGATGGCATAAGCATTTGACGCGGCCCATTTTCTTCAAAAGAACAGAGCAAATCAAATCCACGCGTTAACCAAAATCAAACAACACCGTTCCTAGTTTTCCGACACGCCGAAACCGATGGTTGCTATGCCGATTTACGAAATTTCCAAATAAGTCGGAAAACTGAAAAAATTAGGGGGTGGCATATAAAATTGACGCGCACTGTATTCAACCCGATTTTTCGCATGAGGTTAACTGCTCAACCCACTTTGGTGCTCCCCCTTGCCCCACTGCTTCTCCCAGTCCTAGGCAAAAGTTTTTTTTCCTTGACCCTTAGAGTTCGCTTCTCTTCTCCATTCCAGGCAGACTTAACCGGTCCTTATCAAGACCGGCTACACCTTTAATGGGAGTGTTACCAAAGCTTTTTTCCTTAGCGCTATAAACGCCCTTATCTTGATACTTATCGCTGAGTAGCGGAGCACAATGGAGTACCCTCTCCCCCCCAACTCCACTGCTGATAATTTCCTTCTGAACAACCATAGTTTAGCGTATCCTCTCTGATCCTATAGTAACTCCACGTACAGACGAGTATCCAACGGACGATGCTGAGACGGAAAAAGCGAAAATCGCCGAAGCACAAAAGGTCATAAAAAGTCATTTCTTGAGGGAGTTTTGTTCTGTTAAAAAACCATAGTATCTGATGAACATCGATAAGATTTTCAGAAACCGACCGAAAAGGCTCCTGCTAGTCCACTGGTTAAACAACCTAAGGAAGAGGTAAAGGCTGAGGTCAAGGAGACGAAGCCACCATGTGCTGTAGCAAAACTGCAAGCGCAGTTGAGAGAGCTTGCGAAGGGGAAGCCTGCTGCTACTCCTGAAAGCAAACCTCAAAAAGCAGGAACGCCAAAGCAAAAAGCGGGCGTGAGTTTTACAGATTTCGAGATGAAAATAATGTACTAACCAGGCCTCTTTGTAGAGACGCGTGTCGGATCCAATTGTCACACCAGTTTCCGACGAGTACCCTACCGAAGACTTGCATGGCGATTGGATAGCTCCAGCAGTAATAGACACCCGAGACAAGGTGCAGCGCAAGGACAACTATGAAAAAGGCGGCGATGCTAACTCAGTGAGTCACTGATAGTTACCTAGGTAAATGTGTTACCCCAAGGCATTACTGAGTTCACGATGAAAAGACAGCTCATTAAAAATCGAGGTAGAGGTCGTCAGTAGTGTGGGGATGAAGAAAAACCTTTGAAACGGCCCAGAACCCGGGAAATGGGACGCCTTTCCCGTTGTTCCGCATTGATGCGACTTTCATCAGTGCAAACATCCGAGAGTTTCCGCTGGATGGTAAGCTTTGGTAAACGCTTTGGTTGTGTAGAGGAAGTTCGTAGGAAGTAGAGGAGGTGGTTTCCTCAAGAGTTCAAGTGAAACAGGACTTGGAATGGCCAGAACATCAGCAGTCAGTGGCTGTTTCAGATGGTATCAATATTTTCCGCATTTTACAGTGTAACAATATACTGATACCAAAGTTAGAGATGATATTCTGAGGCCTCGTTTCCTCTACTGAATGGCTCGCTAAGCATCTAAAAAGTACAGTAAAAGTAATCAGTAATAGTATACACCTCATCTCGAATGGCCAAGGCGACCCGAGGGAGTTTCCTGGTAATTAAGCGTTAAAAATGGCTAACAAAACCTTCAAAGAATTCTGGAATCAGAAGTTTCGTGGCTTCATTCAACTACTGCTACCCCAAAATTTTACTTTTCGCCGAAACTTTGTCTACAGGGGTAATCCAGCGCCCTTATTACGAATATGACATTCATTCTTAGCGCTCCAGCGCCACTTGAGCCCTTTTGCGTCAATGTGGTGCATTAGTCATTTTCACCGAATTCTCCGTAGACTTGCAGTAAAAGTAAACCAAGAAGTAAAGTGAGTAGAAAAAGTAATTTAGCGACCTGCTCAGGAACATGACCTTTATTCTTGATGCTTATGGCGTCTGGCGCCATTTTGGTCCAACTGGTAATGTTGGTGCTAAATCGTTGCCAAAAGGCACCTGCGCCAAAAATGGATGTCAGTGACCAGCTTACAGATATATGTCCATGACGAAGAAACTTTGACCTTTCTGTAGTTTCAATGATAGAAGCGCCTGGGGTTGTAGCAGTTGAATCAGTTTTCTCAACAACGAGCTGCTGCTGAAATCGTAGAGGGGCAGCATCAAAAATTTGATTTTCGCCTTCTGTAAACAAAAACAATGAGCCTTTCCGTGATGATGTAAACATTAATGGTAGAGGATATGCACTTATTTACCTCTCAAAGAGCATAATGATAAAAGCAAGTGCATTTTTTTTGTAGAACATTATCTCGAATCCAATAATCACTCCGCGCACGGATGAATACCCAACACCGACGGATGAACCAGAGAAGAGTATGCAGCTGGTACCACCCGAGCCGGAACCACGGGCAGTTTCTAAGGAAGCTGGCAAGAAGCCTGCATCTAAAGGAGTGTCCAAGGAACCTGTACCGAAAAGTACACCATCAAAAGGTCTATCCAAGGAATCTGTACCGAAAAGTACACCATCCAAGGAAGCTCGAGCTGTCTCTCGTGAAGCAAAGTCCAAGGGGCCAGCATCAAAAACGAAGGTGAGCCTTGCTTCTACGAAAACCGTAGTAATAATAAAGGCATATCCTGCGGTCAGATTTATTGGAGACCTCTGAGGATGCAATTGTTGAATCCGCAACTGAAGGGATCGGGCCATTTTTGCGCCGCGACACGAGTAACTGAGACGATAGGGTCTCATTATTTTGGTCTTCGTACGCCCCGTGGATCCGTGTTTGCCCACCGTAGCGGTTTTCCAGCTTGTTGTATCGCTGATCTACTATGCTCTCTCTTTTCGGGGTCTTCTTCTCTCTCCTCAGGGCCCATTATCTCTTCGCTGACTGCCTCTCGGGCTCCTTCAAAGTTGACTGGA